CCTTTAATGTGTGACAGCTCACAAAAACTGGGAACCTGGAGCACACTGCATAGCCTGAAGGCAGCTCAACAGGTTGGAGAATGTCCTTTCCAAGTGACTCAGTTGGTCTGAACCTCTTCCAGGCTGCTGGGTGGTCTGAACCTCTTCCAGGCTGCAAATAGCCAATTTGCAGATTGGCTATTCTGAAAGGAACTCTCAACAACCTGTATTGTTTACTCTGGCAGGGGCGTGCCTGGTAATCTGGTCAGTTTCAGGGACTTCCTGAAGCTACTTTGAATTGTTGACCTTCTGGCTTAAGGAGCTTCTCTGCAGGATAGAACAGCTAGTTATATTGGGGAAGGTACAACATCTCTTTCTGGTGATCATTTGGAGGATAGACTTTGGGATAGATGGTAAAGTAGAACTTAGATCTCAGATCTCTATACATTTAACCTTTCAAAAGATGCTTATTGAATCAAGCAACTGTAGACTTTATATGCAGTGTATTTTTAGGTAAACCAAGAATCTACATGTGCCATTATAGGCAAAGAAGATAGAAGACATTTAGAAACTGAGAAAGATGAGGGGGGGGGCGCTGGAGAGATGGCTCAGAGGTTGAACTCTTGCAGAGGACCTTAGTTTACATGGCTGCTTACAAATATCTATAACTCCAGTTCCTGGGTATTGGATGTCATCTTCTGCTGGCACTTGTACTCACAAAGATACACACATATGCATAAATAAATAATAAAATTAAATTAAAACTGAGAAAGAGGGGCTGGGGATGCCACTTAGTAGACTGCTCACATAACATGCACAAAGCCATAGTTTTGGTCCCTAGAACCACATAAACCATCTGAGGTAGTACACTTGTCATCCCAGCACTGGGAGGTAGAGGCAGGAAAGTCAGAAGTTCAAGGTCATCTTCAGCTATAAATAGAATTCAATACTAGCCTGTACCACATGAGACCCTGTCTCAAAAACTAAAACAAGCCAGGAATGTTTAATCTTTAATCCCAATATTTGGGAGGCAGAAGCTGTCTAATCTCTGTGAAAAGGCCAGCCTACTCTACATAAAAGTTCCAAGCTAGCCATGTCTACAAAGTAGTATAGTATCTCATAAACAAACAAACAAACAAGAAATCCCCAAATAACACCCCCCAACAGTAATAACAACAAATTGAAGAGGAGGCCCAAGGATGTAGCACAGCGTAGGGATTAAAAGTGCATGCCCAACCTTCTGTAGATTCTTTAGTGTTGGGATCGAAGATGTGTCACCATGTGTGCCTAGTAAGATCTTTTTTAAAAGAGGGGCTGGGGGCTGGAGAGATGGTTCAACATACAAGCAAAACAGCCATACACCTAAAATAAAATAAATATACTTAAATTTTTTTGAAAACAAAAACAACCAGACAGGGCCTCCCTAATTGGTCAACATACAGAGAATAAGAGACTGTTGAATGCTCATTTCTAAATGGCACCTATATATTACACCTCTCCCTCCAGGGGTCATTTTCTCAGAAGAAATATCAGAAAGAGTGTAGGAATCAGAGATCGAAGATAACATCAAGGAAACAGTGACCACACACCAAGGCAGGCCCCATTTCCAAGAATAAAGGGGCAACACAAACTACATTCAATGGAGAAATTCAAAAAAAGACAGAACGAAATGTTAAGGTTTATTTGGAATGAATGGGAGGGTGGTTATGGGAGAAGCTGGGTGGAGGTGGTGAATATGTTCAAAATATGTTGTATGAAAATCTCAAATATGTAGTCAAGGATAACTTTGAATTTTTCATCCTCCTGCCTCCACATCCAGAGTGCTGGGATTGAAGGTATATACCACAACATTTCCTGTATACCATACTGGGTACCCATCCTTTGTGTATTTAGCCAAGCACTTGATCAACTGGCCTAGAGCCTCAGCCTCTTTTTGTTGCAAGGTGGAGAGGTGTGTTTGTGCTGGGGAAGGAAGGATAGGGTGAGGCTGAGGAAAGAAAGGAAGGGGGAGGAGGGACGGATGTAAGAAGTTTTGTGAAAGAGCCCACAGGATGTGGGAGCTGAGGACTGGGTAGGTTTGAGGTGACAGTGGTTAACAGTCTGGAGCTGTCCCTAACCTAAATATGCAAAGCTGTCTTTTAGAATATATCAAGCCCCACTTTTTTCTCCAGTCCCAGCACCCTGCCCAACATTTAACCATTCACCATGCTCAGAAGCCTTACTTCCTGTAAGTGGGGTATCCTCCATGCCAGTGGAGTCAGGGGACTATACCCCCCCAAAGTGCTAGGAGGAGAGAGCAATCTGTGTGGTGAGTTTGAAGGGAAAGAATGAAAACCCCTTCTGCCTGTCCTTCTCCCCAGCCCCGTCTTCCTTTCTTTTGTGCAGCCCAGGCTGGCCTCAGAGTTGCTTTGTAACCAAGGATGACTTTGCACTCCTAGTTCTTCTGCTTTCACCTTCTGAGTGCTGGGATTGTTGTACCCATTTCTTGAAACCCCCAGAAACCACCAAGCAGCCAGTTTCTGATGCAAGCACATAAAGATCCTTTTATTCAGGTTCAACCTGGGGTACCACATGGCAGATGGAAGGAAATGTGGCTATACCCATGAGCCCAGATGTAGAGAGTTTTTATAGGGAAAAACCACAAGCAGGTTGGCAACTTGGGATTGGGTAGAATATGGGGCAAGATGATTTTTTTGAAACTATTGGTCTAGACTTTGGATGCGAAACCACATTTGAAACCATTGGGTTAGACTTTTAGTGGGGAACTGGAACCTGCTGAACAGTATTATCGGGACTGCTCAGCAGGATTGTCTAGATATCTTCAAGGGCCATAAACTGCAGACAGGATGTTTGCAGGAGGATAATGCCCTGTATCGTTCGAGTTGTCATGGCACATTCCTGAGGTCCTTCCTGGAACTGAGTACAGCAGGTGGTCTAAGATGGTGGCCCTTTACCCTAAGATGGAGCCTGTAAAATCAAGTGTAGACCTTCACAGGATGATGGTATGCACCAACCAATACCTGGTTTATGAAGTGCTGGAGATGGAACCCAGGACTTTGTACATGCTAGGAAAGCACTCTATCTCTGAGCTACTTTCCTCAACCTTGTTTTTCCTCTTCTCTTCTGTTCCCTTTACTTTCTCTGTACCTGTCTCTTCCCTCCTTACATTTCAGTGCTGGGTTGAAACCCAGGCCATCATGCATACTAAGCAAACACTACCAACTGAGCTGTTTCCCCAACCTTTTACTTTTTTTTGGGGGGGGGGTAATGGAAATTTATTTACTTAAAATTGCAATTAAATTAAATTTTTTTTGCTATGTGTGTGTACACAAACATGCACCATGTTGTGCATGTGGAGGTCAGAGGACAGCTAGTAGGAAATAGTCCTCTTCTTCCATCGTGTGAGTCCTTGGCGTGGAACCCACGTTGTCAGTCTTAGTAGGAAGCACCTCTACTTGCTGAATTATCTCACTGGCCTTAAACAATTTATGTACTATAATTATTATTTTAAATATTTATTTATTTTTATTTATGTATATAAGTGCTTTGCCTACATGTGTGTACATATATCCCATGTGTGCCTGGTGCTCAGGGAGGCCAGAAGAAGGTGTTGGATACCCTGAGACGGGAGTTATGGATGGTTGTGAGCCACCTTGTGGGCACTGGGAATCAAACACTGGTCCTCTACTAGAGCAGTTAGTGCTCTTAACCACTGATTGATCTCTCCAGCCCCTTATTTGTTATTAGCAGGAGGGGGCACTCAAAATAGGAAAACTTTGCATAGTCAGTTCTCTCATTCCACCTTTATGTCAGTTCTGGGGTTGCCAGGAGTGAACAGCAAGCTCATTGGCCTTATAGCCATTTCACTGATCCTCTTCTTTCATCAAAGCTGTGTTTGGGGTGAGGGGCTCATGAGGCCTCAACCCTAGACAAAGAATTACAGGCAACTAAGGGATGCTGAGAGCAGGAGAAATAGTCTTCCCCAAGGAAGAGCACACCATTGGTTATCCAATACCGGATATGAACCTCTGAAAACATACACATACAAGTGACATTATATAGACCGAGTAGGTTGTATTTGTATATATTAGGAAGGGGAAAGTGATGTAATTATTTTATAATCTCAAAAAATTTTTTAAATAAATAAATCTTAATTTTTAATCTATTTTTTGAAACCAGGCAGAGGATACACATCTTTAATTCTAGCACTTGGGAAGTAAAGGCAGACAGAGCTGTAGAAATTCAAGGCTAGCCTGGTCTACACAGTAAGTCAGTCTCTCTCTCTCTCTCTCTCTCTCTCTCTCTCTCTCTCTCTCTTTCCTCCTTCACTCCCTTTCTCTCTTAGTGCTGGGATTAACCCCATGCTAAACAAGTGCTCCTAAACTGGAGTGTAAAAGAGCTCAGAGATGGAATGGTCTAGCCACACTCAAGGACGGTTAAATGCTTTTGCAGAATGATTAGCCAACAAGAGGCCTGATGAGGCCCAGCTGCACCCTTGTGCTTGCTTTACCAGCCAAGCTTGGTTTCCTAAGGCAAATGCAGAGGGAAAAGGACTAGATGAGCTTTTCCGGACAGCCTTCCCTTCACCTCCTAGAAGGACCTTATGAAGCCCGGAACATCCTTACAATCAGCTATGTAGGGCCTGATGAGATGGCTCAGTGGGCTAAGGTCCTCACCACCAAGCTCGAAACCTGAGTTTGATTCCTGGAATCTGCACGGTAGAAGGAGAGAACTAACTTCACAAAGTTGTACACACACACACACACACACACACACACACACACACACACACACACCAATAAATATTTTAAAAGTTTTTAAAAATAGGCTATATAGTCAAGGCTGACATTGAACTCTTGATCTCCCTGTCACCATCTTTTGAGTACTGAGATCACAGTCATGTACCACCATGCCCAATTTTATGTGGTCCTGATGAAACCCAGGGCCACATGCTTGAGAGGCAAGCACTCTACTCACTAAGCCACATCCCCAGCCCCAGAACTCAGTAATTTACTCCTTGCTTTTACCTGATACATTTATTGCCTCAGTGATGACAGAAAGGTAGAAAGGCCAGATTGTCAAAGTCCCCTAACCCTGGACTGTGCACAGCACTTTGCTCACAGGGCAGGATTTGATTCATTTCATACACACAAGGCAGCTGGGAGGTAGGTTCTGCAGCAAATCCTATCGGACACATGATGAAATGGAGACTTGGACAGCGATTCAACCCATGGGAGTCAAGCACCAGGCATGGGGTGTGACAGTGGTGATCTTTCACACACAGGGCCCTCACTGGGCTAGAGGCCATAGGCCTGAGTATTCTGGCCAGTGCAGCCAGGGTAATCAAAGCTTCAAGTTGCAGGGCTTGGCTCCCTGGCAGTCAAGCAGACAGGCAGGTGGATGGACAATCAGATCTTCTCCACATAGTTTCCTGGGAAGAGACCTTCCTGGCCATGCAGCCGGCCCTTCCACCAGCCAGAGGAATCTATGGGAGAGAAGAGCTTGAGGTGCCCAGTGTACACTGGAGAAAGCATGCAAGCTTACTCTGTGTCTGTCTTATATTCATCTTGGATATTTTGTTTGCTTTGGAGACATGGTATTGTATGGCTCTGGCTGTCTTCAAACATACTATACATGGGACTGGGGAGATAGCTTAGTGGAGAAAGTACTTGTTATACATGTGTGAGGACCTGGGTTTAGTTTCTCAGAACCCATGAAAGCTCGATGCAGTGGTATATGACACATCTGTTATTCCAGCTCTATGGTGAAAGAGAAGGTAGAGACAGGAGAATCCCTGGAAACTCTTGTGTTGGGGAATATTATTTTGAGATGTGTTACTTTTGTTATGTTGCATTGTTATGTTGTTTGTTTGACTCTGTGAAGTTGTGTTACTGTGCCTGTCTAAAACACCTAATAAAGAACTGAACAACTAATAGCAAGGCAGGAGAAAGGATAGGCAGGGCTGGCAGGCAGAGAGAATATCTAGAAAGAGAAATCTGGGAGGGAAAAAGAAGTAGCCAGAGAAGGAGGAGGTCTCCAGGGGCCAGCCACCCAGCTACACAGCCAGCCACTGAGTAAGATTAACAGAAGTAAGAGAATGGGAAATGCCCAGAGGCAAAAGGTAGACAGGATAATTTAAGTTAAGGAAAGCTGGCAAGAAATAAACCAAGCTTGGGCTGCAGAGATGGCTCGGTGGTTAAGAGCACTGACTGCTCTTCCAGAGGATCCAGGTTCAATTCCCAGCACCCACATGGCAGCTAACAACTGTCTGTAACTCCAGTTCCAGGGGATCTGATGCCCTCACATTGAGATACATTCAGGCAAAACACCAATGTACATGAAATAAAATAAGTAAATTTAAAAAAAGAGAAAGGGAAAAAATAAATAAATAAGAAAGAAAGAAAGAAAGAAAGAAAGAAAGAAAGAAAGAAAGAAAGAAAGAAAGAAAGAAAGAAGCCAAGCTAAGGCTGGGCATTTGTAAGTAAGAATAAGCATCTGTGTGATTTATTTGGGAGCTGAGTGGTGAGCCCCTCAAAAGGACAAAAACAAACAGCAACGCTCTTGGGTCAGCTAGCCTGGCATATATGGTAGTGAGCAACAAAAGATGCTGTCTCAAACAAGGTGGAAGGTAAGGACTGACACTCTAAGTTGCCCTCTCACATCACACCATCACACATGTGCACCTTCATAAAACACAGGAATGCACGTGTGCATCCACACACATGCACACATACAGACACATGTGCCCATGCACACATACTCACAGATACATACACATACAGATGAAGACATGTGCATGTGTGTGCTATGTTGCTGAGGTTATCCTTGGACTCTTTATCCTCCTGCCTCTGTTTCCTGAGGACTGTGATTATAGGCATAAGCAATCACATTCACTTCTGTTTTGTTTGGAGACTGGTTCTGTCTCCCTGAGTAGCCCAGCTTGGCTTTATACTCTCCATCCTCCTTTCTCAGCCTCTGAAGTTCTAGGATTATATGTACGTGCCATTATGTATGACTATCAGCATTTAGATCTGGAGGTAGGGCATTGGGGATTGAATCCAGGGTGTTGTACATGCTAGGCAAGTGTTCTATTGCTGAGCAGCTTACTGACTGAACCATATCCCCAGCACCAGACTTCTCTCTCTCCTACCCTTCCATCCTCTCCCTCATCTCTCCCTGACATTGAGGATGAACCCAGAACCTCATGCATGTGAGGCAAATGCTGCACCACTGATCTACACTCAGTCTCTGTCATGCTCCAGATGATTTGCTTGCACTCTTCTATCCAACCACCCCCTTCTATAGATGTCCTCCTTCAACCCCCAGGTTCAGTCAGGAATATCCATGACATCCAGGAGGCCCTGCTATCCACTTCTGGAGTGTGTGATGAGTCTACAGCCCTTCTGGAGTCATCCCAAAGGATGAAGGTAGGAATTGGGCAGGGCCATCCAAACTCAGCTTCCTTCCTACTCACAGGGATTTGTAAAGTCAGTTTTTACTGACAATAATAAGGCTACAGCCTGGCATGGTGGTGCTTCCCTGTCACAGGAGGCTGAGGAAGGCTATCCTTAGTGAGTTCAAAGGCAATATAGCATGACTTTGTTTCAAAATAAAATAAAATAATAAAAAAGCTTAGGCATGAGGTGTGAAGAAATGAGGCCAAAGCCCTAGGTGCTTTAGGAGGTGATGTTCAGAGACTAGCTTTTCCAGATTATGTAGCTCTGGTGAGGCTGTGAGTGGATACCCCATCTGCTTATTTATTTATTTTTATGAGTGTGCACCACTACACTCAGCTTTAAGTTTTTTTTTTAAATTACACGTTCTTTTTCCATAATGTGTGTGCATGGTATGCACCTCTGTGTTGTATGTTTTTGCATGTGTGTAGGTGCCCATGCATGTGGGTGTCTGTGCATGTGGAGACCCTACATTGTCTGTGCATGTGGAGACCCTCATCCAATGAGGCAGAATCTCTCAGTCAGAACCAGAGCTCGATGATACAGCTAGGCTTGCCAGCTAGCTTGCTCTGGGGATCCTGTCTCTGTCTTTGGAGTCTGGAATTACAAATAGACTACCACACCCACTCAGCATTTACTGGTATCTGGAAATCAGAACTCTGGTCCTCATGTTTTCAAGGCAAGAGCTTTAACCAAGGAGCCATCTCCTCAGCCTTGTGCATGTGCGTATGTGTGTGTGTGTGTGTGTAGGTCAGAGTCCATTCTCTCCTTCCACCAAGAGAGTCCTGGGGATGGAACTCAGGTCATTAGGTTTGGTGGCAATGACCTTTACCTACTGGGTCATCTCACTGACTCTTGCCCCCTTGTTCTTGTATGAATGGGAAGGCTATGCAGTAATGTGTAGCTGCCTCACTGTGTCAGGGTTGTGAACACTCCCCACTCTCAACCTCTGCCCCGGAATACAAACCTTCCATGAGAATCTCAATTACTTCATTCACATTGAAGCTCAGCTCATCCACATCTTGGCCTATGTATTGGTACAGTGCCCGGCATCTTGGGCCATGGATCCGTGGTTGGGGCTTGGGCCGGCCCACACCTGGCACAGGTCTCTGCCCTATGCTTCTCTTCCTTTGCATGCTGTGGAGGACAGCGTGGTTCCATTACAACCCTCGGTAGATACTCCTCTATCCCCTGACCACCTCATGGGGCTGTGCCCTCCACCCCTTCCTACCTACCCTGCTACACCCTGGTCAGGCACATTGAGGAATTCTGTGTTGTGCTCTGAAGGTGGCCGTGCCCGGGGACGTCTGCTGGCTCCTAGGGTTGAGGATGGAGGGCCCCGGGGAGGCCTCTGGGAACTCCTTCCAGATGTGATCTCCAGGGGTAGGGGCCCTGCCCTGGAAGAGGGTGGTACCCCATTTCGATTCATACCTATGATGGAAGCAAAGATAGAAATATCTGTCATGAGTGGCTGTGAACATTTGAGGAGTTGGCTCTAAGTTCTGAGCCTGACAGAAGATGCAGCCACTCTCAACCAGTATGGTCAAAACTGTGTCTGAGGACTAGGAGTGGTGATGCTCGCCTTTAACTCCAGCACCTGGGGAGGAAGAGGCAGGTGGATGTCTGTAAGTTCCAGAGGTCCTGCCAGCTAGGACCACATAGAGTGCCTTGTCTCAAAACCAAAAACATGGTGATGCATTTAACCCCAGCACTTGGGGAAGCAGAGGCAGGTGGATCTCTTCACAGAGTTCCAGGCTAGCCAGGACCACTTAGAGAGACACTGTCTCAAAAAACAAAACAACAACAATGAAACATGGTGATGCATTTAACCCCAGAGTTTGGGGAAGCAGAAGCAAGGTAGATCTTTGTAAGTTCCAGGCTACATATCAAGATCCTTTCTCAAAAACAAAACCAGGAGCCTGATGGTGGTGGCACACACCTTTAATCCCAGCACTTGAGAGGCAAAGGCAGGTGAATCTCTGAGAAACCCTGTCTCCAAAAACCAAAAACCAAAAGGAAAACCAAACCAAGCCACGAAAAGAAAAGAAAAGAAGAGAAAAGAAAAGAAAAGAAAAGAAAAGAAAAGAAAAGAAAAAAAGGACAGAGTCTGAATTAGAGAGCCCGGAGGTAGGAGGATCTATAAGGAAAGCTCTGTAAGATGCTGTTATATCCATAGGAGGGCTTTGTGAGTGGCTTTATGTATTATTATTATTGTATGTGTGGGGCACATGCCACAGCACTCACTTGCAAGTCTGAGGCCAGCTCTGCACACTTGGTTCCCTCTTTCCACCTTCACTTGGGTTCTGAGGATTGAACTCAGGCCTCTAGGCTATGCAACAAGAGCCTTTAGTTGATGAGGAATTGGTGTGTTTCTTTCTTTCTTCATCTTCCTTCTCCCCTTCTTCCTCCTCCCCTCCTTTCTTCTCTCTCTCTTCCTCTTTCTTCCCCTCCTCTCCCACTTCCTTTGATTCAGGGTTTCACTGCATAGCCCTGGCTGGCCCAGCACTGGCTATGTAGACCAAGCTCGCCTTGAATTTTCAGAAATCCACCTGCCCTTGCCTCCTGAGTCCTAGAATTAAAGATATTTACCACCACACTCTGTCTGAATTTCTTTCTATCTATCTATGTATGTATCTATGTATGTATGTACGTATGCATGTACATATGTATGTATCTGTCTGTCTGTTTATCTATTTTTGGGACAGGGTCTCTTGTAGCCCAGTTTGGCCTCAAACTCCCTGTGTAGTTGACAGACCCAGATTTATATAGCCTTCTGCATGCTAAGCAAGCATTCTACCACTGGGGTATAAGTGGTGTGGGGATTTGGATGGCAAGTCTAAGCAAAGGTCTAGGTGTAAGTATTCTGTCCTTAATTATGCCATCAGCCTGCGACAGTGTCCCTGCCTAAAAAGCAGATGGACCCTCTGTGTGTCCCTCTCTTTCCTTTCTGCTCCTTCCTTCCGTCTGCCCTGCCCCCTCCCAATAAAGCTCTAAAAAGGTAACCATGGCTGTGATTCTTCCAATCAGCACTCTCCTCCCCCCCCCCCCCCCCCCCCCCCCCGGGCATGGCCGTGGTGGGCAGCAGCCTGCCATGAGAAGCAGCACCACAGCGTAACCAACACTAAGGGCAAGAATAAATTTGATGAGTTGGTTAAATAAATCATCAAATTTATTCTTGCCCTTAGTGTTGGTTGCGCAGTTGGTTAAATAAAACGTAGTTTGCCGGGCGGTGGTGGCGCACGCCTTTAATCCCAGCACTTGGGAGGCAGAGCCAGGCGGATCTCTGTGAGTTCGAGGCCAGCCTGGGCTACCAAGTGAGCTCCAGGAAAGGCACAAAGCTACGCAGAGAAACTCTGTCTCGAAAAACAAAAACAAACAAACAAACAAACAAAAACAAACAAACGTAGTTTACAGGCTAGGAGTGTGCCGGATGGTGGGAGAGGTCAGATCTTAAAGATATTCCCAATTATGCTTCTCCCGTATCTTGTGGTAGATGGGAAGCTATAGTGAGTTGAGCCCCTGTTAGATTCTGAAGTCCACAACAAGTCACCAAGAGTTATCTCCTCACCTCTGGGGGGCCCAGGGGCTGCTCGAGTAGGGGCCTGCGCTGACCTTCGAGGTCTTCCCTGCGCTAACCCCTTCCGTGTAGGCTCTGAAAGAAGAAAGCAGAGATAGATTTGAGTAGTGGCCAGGCCACACCAGGTGTGTATCTAGGTTCTCCAACATTTCTCCGTACTGGTTCTGCTTGAGACCATGCCTCGCTCATGCTTATTGGTTCTCCCATGTTAGTTGCAGGTGGGGATTCCACCCTTCCTGATCCTACCCCTCACCCTCCCTATTCTTTGAGCTCTCTCACTTCAGGACACGCCCCCACCATCTGTTGATAGCTTAGGGTTGCTCCTATGGCCACGCCCCTTCACTTTTTCCCTGTCTCATTGGTCATTTCTCTAAGGCGGGATATCTTCCTCTATACCTTGACCCTTGAGGCCCTGGCCTCTCTAGACCAGCTTAGCTAGCTCTACCCCTACAAAGTTGATTGGTCTTCATTAACCACGCCCCAACAGGCCTCGCCCCCACGATGCCCATCTCTGGTTCCCCGGGACTTACTGGTGCTCTTAGGCAGTCCATCTCCAATGCCTACAGTGAGAGTTCGGCCCCCAGCTTTGAGCACAGCCAGGTCACCTGTCCCGCGGGAAAAGGTGACGTTGCGGGTACTGCCTCCGCCCCAGCCTTCCTTCTTCACCCGGAACTGTAGTCTAGGGGAGAGAAGGGAGCTTGAGGGCTCCAGTTGGGGCTTCCTCTTCCACACCCAACCCGTGCCGGGGTCCCTTCGGTCGGTCGGGAGCACCGTGCATAGGACGGGCCGAGAGTGGTGCTCAAATTGGCTGTGGGTTGAGGAGCATACGTGTCGCTGAAGGTGAGGGGTAGGGGCCTGCGCGCTGCCTCTTCAAAGCGCTTGCACAGAAGGCTGACGAATTCGGTCTTGAAGATACTTTCCAAGAAGCTGTCAGCAGCCTCTTCTTGGAGGATGAAGAAGTCATCCTGTCTGGTGCTGGGGAAAAGCCAGGAGAGTGCCAAGTGAGGGTGCAGGAAAACTTGTAGGGTCCAATCTGTGAGGATCAAATTGGGGGAAGGGAGAAGGAAGAGCCCGGGAGGGTGGTAATTGGGAAGGACCAGAGGTCAGATAGGAAGAGAGACAGAAATTGTCTCCACACAGAGATCATGAAAGTAGCGCCGGACCTGAGTTGCATTCCCCAAGGCCCACATGGTGGGATTACTTTCCACTGACCTCCACTCAATGTGATGTGATGTGTGCCCCCCCCCAATAAAAATGTAATAAAACAGTTTGTTGAAGATCATGAAAGTAGGGGTTAGTAAATGTGGCAGGAAGGGACAAGAGAGCTCCAGGGACTTGACCTTACCTGAGGGATACCCCTCGAAGGGCCTGGATCTCCAGTTTCTTCTTCAGGACTTCATGAACCATACCCTTCTCTGGTCCCTTTTTGACCTTCTCTCTCCCAATTACATACACACACTTGGGGGTCAGGATCAAGTCCCGTTTGATGGGCTGTGGAGAGGCAAGGCCAGAGGCTACCACTGAGCTGAATCCCCAACCCAAACAATGATAGACGTCCCATGCTTCTGTAAGTAACCAATCCTTCAGCCATGCTCCTGGAAATAACCTGAATTAAACTTACTGTGTCACCAAGCTATACTTTAATGGAATCATTTCTTTGGTCTGCCATTGATTGTCCTATCTGGAGTGAATAGACATTTGTTAGCCTCTCTAGGAAATGTTCACAACGCTGTATGCATGTGTATGGTTCTGTGCTGGGAATGGAATCTTTCTTGCATGCTAAGCACACACTCTGTCACCAAACCACATGTTCTCGGCTTAGCTTATGTAAAGGCATAGATTGCTTGGGTGAGTGTATACAAGTTACAGAGGCAGGTAAGAGTATATGGCCTAAACTGTCTGATCCTGGTGGGACACACTTGTAATTCTGGTGCTCAGGAGGCACCAAGTTCTAGGGCAGGAGGATTGCAAGTTCTAGGCCAGTCTTAGGATGAAAAGAATAGAAAAGTAATGATCGTAAGTAAGGGACATGTGTGTATATGAACCACACGAGTCTATGAGTTTGTACAGGAAGGCAGGTATGTGTCAGAACACCGTCAAAAGAATGATGCATGGGGAACGATGCCTTGGAGAACTGTGAGAGAGGCTCCAGCAAAAAAGGCAGAGGGCCTCTTACCTCAGGTGCATTTTGTTCTCTGGACTGTACTTGGACGTGACTTTGCACCTCTCGTGACAAACATTTATATTACTTTATAAGACATGCTTATTCTTTTTTGTTTGTTTGTTTGTTTGTTTTTTGGTTTTTTGAGACAGGGTTTCTCTGTTGTTTTGATGTCTGTACTGAATCTCACGCTGTTAGACCAAGCTGGCCTTGAACTCACAGAGATCCTCCTGGCTCTGCCTCCCAAGTGCTGGGATTAAAGGCATGTGCCACCGCCGCCTGGCCGACATGTTTATTCTTTTTTTTTTTT